CGCCCCTTTTTCCCCTCCTCCCACTTTAAAACCAAGCATGCACTGTGAGTCTAGTCACTGTATTAAATCATTCACTACTCAATTTTTCAAACATTCTACCATCATGGATCACACAATAGCTTTTACGGGTAAATATTTCTGTCTTCGTCCTCTATTAAAGTTTATAGCAAGAGTAATTTCTACATATGATGTCACTTATCTCTTAATTCTTTTCCATGGTGCTGGATTTTTCTTTGGAGTGATTTTGATAAGTTAAATATTGTATGTTTTTTGTATTATTCGCTGTTTTATTGGTAACATGTGGGATTTTAGAGACTAAATAGTAAGATGGTCGTCGGCTACGACGCTACAAAGTCGTCAGCTGATTGGTGTATGTGAATTCAGATCGATGATTGGTGGTAGTCGTAGTAGCTTAGCCAATCAGCGACAGATTATCCTCACGTCACAAGTTCATTTTTAAAACCGAGATTGATCTGGCGGGGATAAACAGAGAAATAAAATAAAATTAAAATAATCATATATGAATAAGTAACGATAATGACAGGATACAGATAATGATTAATAATGAAGACGAATTTCAAAAAACCCACAAATAATACTAATGAACGCATAAATTATTCATTTTATGAACTCAAAATTGGACAATCAGCATGAAAATTAACATATACAGTTACAGCCCCATCCATATATAGCTGGTGCACGCCCGCCCGCACACACACACACACACACACACACACACACACACACACACACACGCGCGCACACACACACACACACACACTAAGGTGGACAAGGACATGATTCCAGGGAGGGGAACAGAAAAGAGGCACATTGAAGTTGAAGACACAAATGAGTCAGAGAGATAGTAGGAAGTATTTCTTCAGTCATAGAGTTGTAAGGCAGTGGAATAGCCTAGAAAATGACGTAGTGGAGGCAGGAACCATACACAGTTTTAAGACGAGGTTTGATAAAGCTCAGGAGCGGGAGAGAGAGGGTCTAGTACAACCGAAAGGCGGGGCCAGGAGCTAGGACTCGACCCCTGCAACCACAAAATAGGTGAGTACAAATAGTGATATACACACACACACACACACACACACACACACACACACACACGCGCACACACACACACACACACACACACAGTTTTAAGACCAGGTATGATAAAGCTCATGGAGCAGGGAGAGAGAGAGGACCTAGTAGCGACCAGTTAAGGGGCGGGGCCAGGAGCTATGAATCGACCCTTGCAACCACAAATAGGCGAGTACAAATAGGTGAGTACATACAGAGGCCAAGTGTCTATCGACAAGTGCCTTTGACAATCGGTATACGACGCCGAGAACACACGTCAGTCACCCGAAAATAGAAGGAAATTATAATTAACGAACATTTTCTGGAGCAAGAATGACATATATATTGCAAACAATCGCAGACGGGCGATTTTAACTACGCAAGACGAGCCACGGGGGGGGGGGCTACAGATTTCCACCCCCCATCCGTGGCTTGTTTACCATATATAATATAAATAAATAAATAAGGAGAAACAGTGTGGCACAATAATACAGTGGTGCATTTGTTTACATTGTGGCAGAGGGAACAGAGACCAAGCGTAGCTATGTTTATGTACCAGCTAACAAGGAAACCAGTGGATGGATGGATCTGGAGTTTATCTGGAGAGAGTTCCGGGGGTCAACGCCCCCGCGGCCCGGTCTGTGACCAGGCCTCCTTAGGTCAGTGTCCCAGGATGCGACCCACACCAGTCGACTAACACCCAGGTACCCATTTTACTGATGGGGAACATAGACAACAGGTGGAAAGGAACACGTCCAATGTTTCTACTCTGGTTGGGAATCGAACCCAGGCCCTCACCGTGTGAAGCGAGAGCGTTAACCACCAGGCCACCAGAGTAACTGAACAGAGTAACTGAAGAGTAACTGACAGAGTAACTGAAACTGAGCAAAACCGGGTAAGACAACAAGGATTAATAGAGATATTGAACAAGGAAAAAGCGGTTTTAAGACAAGAGATGTAAAGCTGTAGGACCAGACGGTGTAACACTCTAAGTTATATCATCAACTCTGGATTTCTTTTAGTATTTCACTACAGGAACATAAGTTAATAAACACGTCGATGATGACACTTTTTGTAACTACATTTAATAAGGGTGACAATGAAGACCTTTAAACTATAACTCGGTTTCATTGACAATAATTGTTGTAAAACTGTTGGAAAAAGTTATTGGAGTAAAGTGGATTCAACACTTAGAAAACAATAACATACTAACTGGTAAACAATTTGGTTTTCGGTCTGCACATTCATGTATATCAAATATGTTAAATTATGGCGGAGTTACGGAAATTGTTCCAAAAATGAAATGGCAGATTGTGTTTACTTAGACTTTAAGAAAACTTTTGATAAAGTTACCCATGATAGACTAATTTGAAAACTACAAAATAGAAGAGGAATTTAAGGTAAATAATGAATGGGAGATTTTTTATTTAAGAGGAAAATGCAAACAGTTATAAGAGAAAAAAAATGGGGGGGGGGGGGGGGAAATCACAAGTGGGGCACTACAAGGGCCTATTTCTAATTTATATAAATGAATCATTAGAAGAAATAAAAATGATATGAATACATTTGCAGATGCCAAAAAAATCGTAAATATAATTTTTAATGCAAATAATTGTAAATCTTCACAAGAGGACCTGAATACATCCATCTGTCACATAGAGTGACAGATGGATGATGGAATTTAATGTAGATATATGATATATAATGTAGATATATGATATATAATGTAGATATATGATATATAATGTGTGAATGTGCAGTCAAACCACATAAAGAATATTAGATTATGGGGAAAAAATATTGATAGTAAGAAATAAAAGGGGTTTAGGAACTATCATCAACAAAAAACTGTCACCGGTAGATCATATAAACAAAATTTTGAAAAAGTCATTTGCTATTCTGGCAAACTAGAAATAAAATATCTGGCTGGTGAAATGTTAAGAAAGTTGTGTATAACTTAAACTATATAAAAAACTGGAATATGTAGCTGTTGTGTGGCGCCAAAACCTGAGAAAAAACTTACGTAGGTGATTATAAAATGTTCAGAGAAGAACTACAAAACTGCCAGAGCTGAGCAATGTGAACTATGATGAAAGATTGAAAACATTACAGTTGGCTGATAGCAGGAAAGGTTGGCTGATAGCAGGAAAGGTTGACTGATAGCAGGAAAGGTTGGCTGATAGCAGGAAAGGTTGGCTGATAGCAGGAAAGGTTGGCTGATAGCAGGAAAGGTTGGCTGATAACAGGAAAGGTTGGCTGATAGCAGGAAAGGTTGCTGATAGCAGGAAAGGTTGGCTGATAGCAGGAAAGGTTGGCTGATAGCAGGAAAGGTTGGCTGACAGCAGGAAAGGTTGACTGATAGCAGGAAAGGTTGGCTGATAGCAGGAAAAGTTGGCTGATAGCAGGAAAAATTGGCTGATGGCAGGAAAGGTTGGCTGATAGCAGGAAAGGTTGGCTGATAGCAGAAAAGGTTGGCTGACAGCAGGAAAGGTCGGCTGATAGTAGGAAAGGTTGGCTGATAGCAGGAAAGGTTGGCTGATAGCAGGAAAGGTTGGCTGATAGTAGGAAAGGTTGGCTGATAGCAAGAAAGGTCGGCTGATAGTACGAAAGGTTGGCTGATAGCAGGAAAGGCTGGCTGATGGCAGGAAAGGTTGGCTGATAGCAGGAAAGGCTGGCTGAAAGCAGAAAAGGTTGACTGACAGCAGGAATGATTGGCTGATAACAGGAAAGTTTGGCTGATAACAGGAAAGGTTGGCTGATAACAGGAAAGGTTGGCTGATAACAGGAAAGGTTGGCTAATAGCAGGAAAGGTTGGCTGATAGCAGGAAAGGTTGACTGATTGCAGGAAAGGTTGACTGATAGCAGGAAAGGTTGGCTGATAGTAGGAAACGTTGGCTGATAGCAAGAAAGGTTGGCTGATAGCAGGAAAAGTTGGCTGATAGCAAGAAAGGTTGGCTGATAGCAGGGAAGGTTGACTGATAGCAGTAAAGGTTGGCTGATAGCAGGAAAAGTTGGCTGATAGCAAGAAAGGTTGGCTGATAGCAGGGAAGGTTGGCTGATAGCAGGAAAGGTTGGCTGATAGTAAGAAACGTTGGCTGATAGCAAGAAAGGTTGGCTGATAACAGGAAAGGTTGGCTGATAGCATGAATGGTTAGGACATGATAACCACATACATGGTCTTGAAAGGTCTTAAAAGGGTAAATATAAAAATATTTCTAGTACCTACAAAAGAGATAATAAGAACCACAGTTGCAAACTGAGCAAAAGTAGAGTGGATAGGGTAGCGGAAAAAAAATTATTTTCAAATAGTGTTTAACCTGTGCAATGTATTAAAAAATGAGTTAGCGTTGCATCCACTGCAAATTTAAAGAAAAAAAGAATATATGAGCACCACGGGCTCTAACTCTGTTCCTGTAACTACAAACAGGTAATCAAAAAAATAGGCAATTATACACATAGGGTCTACAGGATATATACATTTTGTCTCTTCTGTTCTTCAGTACCTTCGGTGTGTACACAATACTGGCAACGGAGATGATTTAATTCGCATATCATGACTAACAAGTCACATCCAGCCCACAACTTCAGGAGTGCTGGACGATGGTTGGGTTCACCCTGGACGAATATCACTTGGCAAGTTGATGATAGTTCAGGATGAACCGAAACGTTGTCTAGTTTTATACTTAAAATTTGTGTGTTATAAATTACTGACTACTCACACTGGGAAGAGGGAGGGACCAATTACCAGACCGATTAGCACACACAAATACTAGCTAGCTTACCCTAGTAAGATGAGGAATTGCACTGATACTTGTCTGACAACTAAATCCTTTCCTTCTAAACGGTTAGCTAGCTAGTATAGAGTGGTAAACAACTCAAAGTGCTGAGGAGGTCAGTACAGCCCTGGTCCCCACACACTCGCTTCACAGGTGCGACTCTTAGTGTGGTGCTCAACCTGGACAACACAGTAGCAGTCATCCTCTCCGCCTGCATCGCCGTCTTTTATACTCTCTTCGGGGGACTCTACGCAGTTGCCTACACGGACGTTATTCAGCTCATTTGTATTTTCATCGGTCTGGTAAGTATCTCCTCAAGTTCTCTCATTGTTGTGCGCTTATTTTTCTTCGTTATTTATTACTGAAATGTTAAATAAGGGGTAAAGTTTTAATCCACAGTATTGTTGACTGGCTTGCTGGGAATTCTTGGAAAATACGAGGTAAGTTACAGTTTAGAATTAAGGAAGTATTAAAAAAAGTGTCTATTCGTACGTATTAAAAAAATGTAGTCTCTCCATTTGTGATTTTTTTTATGCTGCATTTGATGTTTGTACATAAGAGCCACTACATGATACCTCTCTCTCTGGCCTCAAGTTGAAACATTGTCCAAGTTTGAACATTGTTACATTCACAAAAAGTGCTAAATCAAATCTGGACAGGAAATTTAAAATGAATAAACATTTTGAAAACATGAGAGGCACACCTCACCACCGAAAACCCGGGAAGAACCAGGCACGCACACTCTCCTAGCGCTGCTCGCCCCTTCAGCTCTGAAGTCATAACATGTTTACAGGTGTATATAATACAAAAATATGGCTTCAGTTAGAGGGCTGTGTTGTCATCAACTCTGGCGGCCTGACTCTGCATCAGCCTTCACTCATGATTTGAATTGACCGTGTTCTTGGGTTTAAGAGAGGATCATCTACCCTTGATATTGCCATGGTGCGTGCGTCTGTGTTTTAGGAAATATTCCGCTGGTGGCACAACTCTTCCGGTTAAGCTAAGTCTCTTTTTTTTTAATGTTGATAAAACGATGGTTGTCGTCCAGCTCTCTGGTAGCTGTCTTCCAGCTCTCTGGCAGCTTTTGGTAGCTGTTTGCCAGCTCTCTGGTAGCTGTCTTCCAGCTCTCTGGCAACTTTTGGTAGCTGTTTGCCAGCTCTCTGGTAGCTGTTTTCCAGCTGTATGGTAGATCACAAGTTGCCAGTGTCTTGTACATTTTAAAAAGACCTGCTGCATGCTTTGATTCCTTCCTTCAGTATCGAAGATAAAATCCAGTTTGGTCCTCTGGTTAACATTGCACCAACTCTCTCAAGCATCTTACCAGTTGTGTAAATCTAGTCAAAACTTCTGGGAATGCCTTGCAAAATATCTTTGTCACTTTCGGCCGGCTAGGTGACCACGGTTACGTCTGTCTAAGTTTAAGGAGGATCGAGCCTCCAATCTTCTTTTTCACTATACTACCCTAAATAACCAACAGGGTTTGACGTTTTTCACGAACTGGTCCCCGACTACCTGCCATCTGGTATGGCTATGAAGTAGCTTGTGTTTGGACCAGCTTTGTTTGTAAAGCCCTTTTCAAAATACTATTCTGCTCTTCCCATTATTCTAAGAATGGTAAAGCCTGCCTGCAAAAGTAGCGATTCTGCCTCCGTTTAGCAAACGTATGTTTGGAGATGTAAGTTTGTGTTTGGGGAAGTATGTGTGTGTTTTGGCATGTATGTGTGTGTGTGTCTGGGGGTGTATTTGTGTGTTTGGGAGTGTATATGTATGTTTGGGGCGAATGTGTGTGTTTGAGGGTGTATGTGTTTGGGGTATATATGTGTTTTTTTGTATGGTGTGGTTTGTGTGTGTGTGTGTGTGTGCATACACGAACATGCACACATTTACGTAATTTTTATATACTTTTAAAACATATATAAATATGAAGCATATCTATTCGTATTGCTTCACTTCTCATCGTCATTTCACGCAAAAAAAAAAAAGACCAGAGAAAATAAAAACTCATAGTTGTTACTATGACGTAAAACAATGAAACTTCACTGGTGCATCCTGTGTGGTGATTGGCTGCGTTTTATTGGCTTGCTTTACGGCAGCGTGTTGAGCTTTACGGCAGCGGGTGAGCTTTAGGGCAGCGTGTGAGCTTTACGGCAGCGGGTGAGCTTTAGGGCAACGTGTTGAGCTTTAGGGCAGCGGGTGAGCTTTACGGCAGAGTGTGAGCTTTACGGCAGAGTGTGAGCTTTACGCCAGAGTGTGAGCTTTACGGCAGTGTGAGCTCTACGGTAGCGTGCAAGCTTTACGGCAGAGTGTGAGCTTTATAGCCTGGGCCCTACAGACTCGTTATTTGCATGATGCAAGAGGATGACTGGCCAGTGAGAATGGAAGATTCGCCATTTGTTGTATACAACTTTATTTTGTCCCGTAATGCACGAAACAAAAGAGCATCTGTAACAACGAAGAAAATACCCGGCCACTCTTCACACTAATTTTCTTTCTGGTAAATAAATCTGGAGTTTCTTGTCAGCAGGATGACAACATTATGGGCGCCGCCAGTTTAAACTTTGATTAAAACCTCCATAACTTATTGTTTGTTAAAAAAAAAAATAATTGCACGTGAGAATTTTGTTCTTCAGTTTAAGGAACGTTTAAAGTTTTTGTTTTAATCGAATGACGAGGTCATTGTGAGTCTCAGGATTTTGTACGCTGACAGTTACACAGTTTTTTGAGGAAATATAAATATACCAGTGATGTGGGAAAACTAGATACGCGGAGAGAGACTTACGACGACGTTTCGGTTCGGCCAAGACTATTTACAAGTCAGGGTGTGATCTGTAAATGGTCTTAATTGAATCGAAATGTCGTGGTAAGCTTCTCTCTCCTATGTGCGGGCTGTTTTTGTTATGGTATTGTGCGTTTTTGTTCTTTAGATACGATGGAGTGAACTCTGGTCTACCAGGGGGAGTATACTCACTTAGATGTAAATTACTAGGTACCTAGTCTGCTTTAAACGATTGTATGACCTCGTCGGCCGTTTCTAATGTGTGTGTTGGCCGAGCCGCTCCTCAGCACTCAAACATATTTGTTTCTTGCACCTGTCTGACACCTCTTTTCTCCTAGTTGAGAAGATGAAAAGCTGCCTTGATGCTATCTCTTAATCTACCTTGTCTGACACTGTGTTTGGGCCTTATGGGCTCTATTCTGCCTTTCATTAATCTGTGCATGAATTTGCCTCCAGCAGCTCCTTCCTAGCTCATTCCATTTAGCTGCCGCTTGAGAGTCTACCTTCCCTGCTGGAGTGCCAAGTAACTCAGTATTAGTGTAAGTAGCAACTGGAATATGGGTCAGTCAGCGCTCACAGCCATGTAAAATGTACACAACATACATACAACAAAAACAAGGACAAAATTAACAAACCACAACAGCAACGAACTTAAATACTTAACACAAATAAATACTATCATACTAAGTTTAATATCCAGCATCAGTTAAAAACCCACTAAATTATTAATGGTAAAAGAATACTCTAAAAGTTTCCGGAGTTCTTACAGGCACCTCCGTAATTATATATAAAAAAAGACATGAAGGTAGAGGGGACTAAGCAGAGGGCAAATTCTTAAAACTGTGTTGCTCAGTTAGCTGTACTCCGTAAACACAGATGATGATGAGGGGAGAGGGAAGGAGGGGGAAAGAATGCACGAACAGGGAATTTATAGGCAAGGTATGTGTGTCCAATCATATAACAGAGATTCTTCTAAAATAACGATTCCTGTTGGAGGAGGAGAACCAAACACTCACGTCCTGAGAACCTTGTATAATTTACTGCTAATCTGCAGGGCCCACTAGGCCCGCCACTCTTGACTCTTGTGAACCATAGGGTAAGTGGCTCACTGGTGAGATTTTTAACCTCACAACCAAGAGATTCCTAGTACGAACACAAGGACACCTAAACCTTGTGTCTGTTTTCCTCGCACCTTCCTGCTCCTGCCCACCTAGTATAAACATAGCTGCCTATGTGTCAGCAGAAGCAACTACGTTGTGAGTCACAGCCAGGAAAAAACTGCTTCACTAACGTTTTAGAAGTCGTGATGGAGGTTATAGCTTGGACAAAATAACAATGTCTCAGAAAACTCCAGACTTACTGAGGTATTCAAGTGTTGGGGAAAACTTGCATTTGCTGTGTTGTGGATATAATAATGTTAGAAAAAATCGTTATCCACTGCAATCTAACTCTGCCATTTTCAGATGTGTTACATCAAAATTTTATTACGAAAAACTGAAAATTAAGCTTAACAAGCCGAGATATGTTTATATCTCAATCTCTCTCGCTCTGTGCTGCCACCCACAAGACTGCCACCCCCAAGGCTGCCAACCTCTAACACAGTCATCCCCCTGGAAGCTGCCTTTTCATCTTTCACACAGAGATCGCACCCTTATACAGCAGCATTCATAAAAATAAATTGGGAAGAAAATGAGGCTGTTTTAGTCATGGTGAGCCTGACGCGTCCCCACAGCTGATCAAGTCTTCGTCCCGTGAGAGCTGTTATGGGACTCGACCGGAAATGAGAGCAAATATCCAAACTAACCTTGATGCTGGCGAAGGGCTCTTGATTCAAAGAACTGGAGTTTCCCTTCCTTTCCTTGGATAGAATCTGCTTGCCTTTCATCACCCTGACACTGTGTCCCTTACGGGTTTACCGGTCCCTCCCTCATGAAGGAAACAATAATAATTTACTTACCTGGAGGTTACCTGGAGGTTATTCCGGGGATCAACGCCCCCGCGGCCCGGTCCATGACCAGGCCTCCCGATGGATCAGGGCCTGATCAACTAGGCTGTTACTGCTGGCCGCACGCAGTCCGACGTACGAGCCACAGCCCGGCTGATCCGGCACTGACTTTATGTATCTGTCCAGCTCTCTCTTGAAGGCAGCCAGGGGTTTATTGGCAATTCCCCTAATGCTTGATGGGAGGCTGTTGAACAGTTTTGGGCCCCGGACACTTATGGTGTTTTCTCTTAGTGTACCAATGGCGCCCCTACTTTTTATTGGCGGCATTTTGCATCGCCTGCCCAGTCTTTTACTTTCGTAGGGAGTGATTTCTGTGTGCAGATTTGGGACCATTCCTTCAAAGATTTTCCAAGTGTAGATTATGATATATCTCTCCCTCCTGCGTTCCAACGAGTACAAGTCAAGTGCTTCCAAGCGTTCCCAGTAGTTAAGGTGCTTGACAGAACTTATACGTGCAGTAAAGGATCTCTGTACACTCTCTAGATCTGCGATTTCACCTGCTTTGAATGGAGATGTTAATG